GCCAGGCCGCCTTTGATGCTCTGAAGGAACGCTTAACCACGACACCGATTCTTGGGTATCCACTTCCACAAGGACAATTCATTCTTGACACTGATGCCAGTAATATCGGCATTGGTGGAGTCCTTTCGCAGTATCAAGATGGGCAAGAGCGAGTCATCGGTTACTTCAGCAAGGTGCTATCGAAGGCAGAACAAAACTACTGCGTTACCAGGAGGGAACTATTGGCCATGGTAAAATCGGTGGAGCACTTCTATAAGTACCTTTATGGAAGAAAATTCCTACTCAGGACGGACCACGCTGCACTGAAGTGGCTCCTGAATTTCAAGAACCCCGAAGGCCAAGTAGCTCGTTGGATCGAGAGGCTCCAGGAGTATGACTTCGAGATAACACACATTGTAGTCGTTTGGAGGATAAGGAAGCAGCCCTCTACAGAACCACCGTTGTCAATGAAGATTGGTTACCTGCAGCAATCAAGCAAGAGCAAGAAAAGGACCCAGAACTTCGCAAGCTTCGAGAATGGAAGAAAGCGAATCGTCGTCCTTCTTGGCAAGAAGTAGCACCATCTTCACAGACTTTAGAGGCGTACTGAAGTCAGTGGGACTCCTTGGTATTAGAAGATGACCTGCTCAAGAGGAATCTCGAGAGCGATGATGGGTCGGATAATCGAATGCAGTTGGTCATTCCTAGGAGCCGAGTGTCGGAAGTACTCGGATATGTACATGATGGAACTTCAGGGGGACATCTAGGAGTGAAGAAGACACTGCAGCGGGTACGAGAGCGGTTCTACTGGGTGAACTGCAGTGACGACGTCAGGGAGTGGTGCCGTAAATGCACTGTGTGCTTTGCCAGCAATGGGCCTCATCGTAAACCAAGGGCACCCATGAGACAGTACAATGTTGGAAGCCCTTTCGAGAGGATTGCTATGGATATTGCGGGGCCGTTTCCAGTGACTGATAATGGAAATAAATACATCCTTGTCTGCATGGACTACTTCACCAAGTGGGTGGAAGCGTATGCGATCCCTAACCAGGAAGCCGTAACTGTCGCCGATGTCCTAATGAATCAACTCATCAGTCGTTTTGGGGTGCCATTGGAACTTCACTCTGATCAGGGCCGGAACTTCGAGAGTGAAGTGTTCAAGAAGATGAGCGAGAAGTTAGGATTCAAGAAAACAAGAACAACTCCATTGCATCCACAGTCAGATGGCATGGTGGAGCGAATGAATCGAACCATAGGGAGGTATCTCTGCAAAGTCGTGGATCAACACCAACAAGACTGGGATCAACATATTCCTTTCTTCTTGATGGCCTACAGATCTGCAGTACAGGAATCTACAGGACAGACTCCGGCGAAGGTTCTATTTGGACGAGTGATGAGGCTCCCATGTGACTTGGTCTTCGGATGTAGACCTGGTGGGGACATAGTGGGGGAAGATTACGTCACGAATCTGATGAAAAAGATGAACGATATTCACGAATTGGTTCGTACTAATCTGAAAATCGCCAGCGATCGCATGAAAGACCGATACGACATCAGAGCTGGGGGTGCAGGATACGCAGAAGGAGACCTGGTGTGGTTGTACAATCCACAAAGGAAACGAGGTATATGTCCAAAACTACAGAGATCTTGGGAAGGACCTTATACCGTCAAGAAGAAGATCAACGATGTCATCTACCGCATCAGTAAAGAACCAAGTGGCAAACCAAGAGTCGTTCATTTCAACAGACTAGCACCATTCGAGGGAACACAAGATCAACAAGTTCAACAAATTTGTCCGGAAGAAAAGGAGCTTACATTCGACGAATTCATTGGGACATACAGTGGTTCATCAAAAGCAAGGTTTGGCGTCACCAAGGAAGAGCACCGCGACCTTTTTGCCATTCCTGTAGAATACGCACTAGCTCACTGCGTCGCCGAGGACCTTCAGATGTCTCAAGGAATAGCGAACAAGTTCATGAGGAAGTTTGGGAAGTTAGAGGAGCTTCGTCAACAAGGTCCCTCCGTCGGTCGAGCACTAGAAATAGAAGATATCAGCGCTGAAGGAAAAAGGTTTATCTTATAACGAAAGCAAGATCTTCTGAGAAACCCACTTACAAGGACCTCTGGGAGACGCTAGTCGACTTGCGAAGCACCATACACGAGAAGGACATACAGAAGATAGCTGTTCCAAAGCTGGGGTGTGGACTGGATGGCTTGAATTGGAGAGTTGTAAGGAACATGCTGGAGGTTGTATTTAGATTCACCGGAGTTGAAATTCTGGTATGCTGCTGGAACTCAAAGGGAATTCCAAGAGAGAAGACAGTGCCATGCTATTTCTACCATACTGCACGTTGTAAAAATGAAACTAGTTGTCCCTATCTTCATAACGATCGGAGTGCATTCCAGGAGGGATGCGTTTTAAGGAGGGGCAGTGTAATGATATTCCCCTTGGAGGGGCTTTAGAAACATCAGCAGGAAGGAGGGAGTACAACGATCATCCTGTATCACGCATCCCCGATTGCTCTCCAACCTCTGAATGATTCCTACATACACCAGCATATTTCCGAACACTCAATATATGCCCCAGTGACAAATGACGTCACAGAAGATTCTGGAATGTTCTGGAAACAATCGATGGAACAATTAGAGAGAGAGGTTTTGTTCTAAGAAGCTTCTAGAACAAAAATAAGGAGACGGAAGATCATTCGAGAACGTTCTCGACCAAAGCCTGCCATGTGTTCTCATATATAAGACGGCCGAACAACTGAGTCAGGCAGTCAAACAGCGAGTGTCAGAGAGACAGTTATATACCGCGTGTTATAAATCGTTTTACATAAATAGTAGTTATAAGTTCGATATAAATTAGTGTTTCTTTAGTTCAAATAAATCAGTTCGAAAATAAATAGTGTCGTGTTCGCTTCTGCACACGAATAACGTAACAATATAAAAAGGTTTATCGATAACCAAATCAACCAGGTGAAAGATATATTATTTTGCATACAGGGTGGGCCATGAGGAACTAAACATACTCCGACCACGGACAGATGCCCCTGAGGGGATTACCGCATGGCCAACCAAAATATTTTCTTCTCTTCTACAATAATATACAGAGTGATCCATAGGATTGGACAAAAAATTATATTTTTGTCATAACTTTCCAACAATTTCTTCTTGAATTATTCAATTTTTTGATGAAACATTACACGCACCCGTTCCTATAGACTGACGTATACAAAATTGAATAAATTTAGGACCGTACTTGTCGTTAAAGAGGTCAGTTACTGACGGAGTATGCCAATGTTGTATAGGTAAACTTTTTATAAAATCCAATAAAAATATATTCGATGTACTTTTTGTTACATTTGAGTTTTTTTTGCCTCCAACAACTGTTGAATTGTTATTAGTACCGATATATTGTACCAACAGATTCTTCGAAATGGTTTATTCCTTACAAGAACGAATAGAAATTATATTTACTTATGAAGCTGAAAATCGCTGTGCTAGAAGAACCTGTAGAGTTTCTGATGAAAGACATCAGGACAAGAATGTTAATCACCAGTCAGATAATTTGAAGACACGGGATCCGTTTGCGATAAAAAACTATCCAACCAAGAATTCTTGATGAAGCTGCTCAGATGGAAGTGTTGGGCCACTTTGCTATGAATTCGATGAACTATATCTTCAAAGTGTCGAAAACTACAAATATTTCGGTTGGTTCCATACATAAAGTGCTGAAACTGAATGAATTCTTCCCATATAAAATTCAAATTCACCAGCAGCTTACAGAAGACGATCATGACCGCAGAATCGAATTTTGTTAGATAAAATCTGGGAAGATTCAACAAGATGCAAGTTTTCTTAAGCACATCTGTTTCAGTGATGAATCAATGTTTTATTAGTTAATGAACATAATTGTAGATTCTGGGACAATTAAAATTCACACATATTTCGACAGGACCATAACTCAGTTTCCTGAGAAAATCAATGTGTGGACTGGTATTCTAGGAAATGAGATAATTGGACCACTCTTCATTTACACTTTCATTTACCATTCGAATGGGTAATTGTACCTGGATTTATTGGAAAATATAATTGTTCCTTTCATTACACAATCTTTAGAGAGACAAATCGATTATCTTGAAAATATGTTGCTTACAAAAAGTTCGTGAAGAATTCGAAAATAGGCTGAACTATTGTCTAAAGAATAATGGAGCACAGTTTGAGCAATTGCTTCGAATACCACTCTGGAAAATTGCATTTCTTCTTAGACACGATTCGTCAAAATAAATCATTCTAGATGGATTTGAAAGGAACTATAGTAGGGTATACAATTCTCAGCTGGATGAAGCACCAACACATTTCGTTCTGGTTGACAGAAAATATGTCATTGTTCACTGAAACCATATCCAGAGTAAACTCTTTGATAGCTGGCAAGATTTCACAAGTACAGTCCTGGATTTCAATTCTGTATACGTTAGTCTATTGGTGTTGAAGTGCATAATGTTCCATGAAAAAATGAAATGAATCAAAGAAACTGTTGGAAAGTTGTGATAAAAATATTGGTTTGCTTAGTCCTATAAATCACCCTGTTTATTATTGTAGAAGAGGAGGTAACACTCCAGATGAACATTCGATATTTCCCTCAGTGGCCGCTGTTCGTGGTAGGAGTATAAACAGCACATCATGACTCATTTTTCACCTGGTTGATTCGATCCTTGATAGACCTTCAATTTTATGTATCTCAAAGTAGGGGGTGCCATTTGAGATTTCAAAGTAGCGGTGTCTGGGGGTGAAGGAGATGAACATAGCATTCAATTCACTTCCCCCTCGATATCTAAATCGACCTGTTTTTTTTTTTCGAAAGTTGTAATCTTTGCAGATCAGGAGATATGCAGGGTGGTAAGTTTTGAAATGAAAGCCCTGTATGAGAGTGCTTAGGGTGAAACTGTAGATAAAAAAGCTATTATTCGAAAAGAAAATGTTGGTGTTTTTGGACAACCTTATAATTGTGTGGGTTTTAGGGGTAACACGTCAAGGAGATCGTCCATTGGAGCAGATCTGGAAGAATCCGATTCTCAGTTTTCTTACAGCAATTCTAGCAGTCCGCAGGTACGTATTAAGTTTATTTCATTTACCTACTATCCTGTCGGTACCAAGTATAGAGCGAGGGGGTTACCACTGAGGAAATGTGTGGAACAGGTCACGAAATGCCATTTCTGAAATACCATGGAATGCCTTCAAATCCTTGAAATTTCATTGAATGCCATGAAAAACCTTAAAATGCCATGAAATGCCATTTCTGAAATACCATAAAATCCTTGAAATTCCCTGAAATACCATGAAATACCTTGAAATGCCATGAAATGCCTGGAAATTCATTGAAATGCTTTGAAGTGCAAAGTTTTGAAATATTCTGAACTATTTTGAAACATGAAATAAAATAAAATGCTATAAGGAAATGGTACGAATTTAATTTAATTCAATTTAATTTAATTTATTTATTAACGGATAAGCCAATTATACAACTTACAAAAGAAAGTATAAAAATACAGAGCATGTACATATTATCATATCTATGAAGAAGACTAACACAAAAAAAATGTAGAAGGCTAAAACGAATAGAAAGATGAAGATTATGAAAAAAGTGATTAACAGTTTTTTATCGCTCTCCTGAGAGACAATAAAGATGAATTGAAAAGTCCAATTTGGTAATTGTTTGTGTTTGCTGTTTTCATAATTCTATTGATTGATTCATTTTGGCCATAATTTGTCCTACAGAATGGTATCTTGAAAATGTCACTATTTCTGTTTCTTCTTGTATTTGCGGAAAGCATAATCAGAGCAACAATTTCAGGAGAATCAATGTAACCATTGATAATTTTATGGAGGAATAATAGATCAATTTCCATTCTTCTATGTATCAACGTATTCATGTTTAAAATATCTAATATTTGTGGATAGGTATATTCATCCCTATTGAATCCCATGTGATATGCACAACTTCTTAAAAATTTATCTTAACAGATAGTTCTTTGGCAGAACGGAGGGAGAAGCCTAGCATTTTACGAGCACGAGATGATGTTTCTATTATGTGATGTTTGAAGGTCATTTTCGAGTCGAATATTACTCCTAAGTCTTTGATTGTATTGGTTACTGATAGATTAGTATCATTAACTCTGTAAATATGATCAATAGCATCATGGCTTCGTGAAAATGTTTTCTTTTGACATTTATTCAAATTCAGTTTTAATAAATTGATATGGCACCACCTGGAAAAATTATTTAGATCGAGCTGCAAACTCTCAGCATCAGAAATGCATCGAACCGTTCTAAACATCTGCAAACATCAAGAAGGAACTGTTGATGATGACATCAGAGAGGTCATTAACAAAAAGATTAAATAACAGAGGTCCCATGTGAGATCCCTGTGGTACACCTGATGGTACTTCGATTGGTTGTGAAACTGAGCTCCCATATTTCACATATTGGACTCTACTAGTGAGATAGCTTCTGATCCAACTTAGAATATTCGCCTCTATACCCAAAGCTTCAAGTTTTGCAAGTAACAGACTATGGTTAACTTTATCAAAGGCCTTAGAAAAGTCTGTGTAAATAGAGTCTACTTGCAGCTTATTCTCTAATGAATTGATGATATAGTTTTGATAAAGCAACAGGTTTGTTGATGTTTATCGACCCCGACAGAAACCATGTTGCTGGTTAGATATAATATTTTTAAAATCCCATGATAGTTTTCTAGTGATCAAACAATCCAACATTTTTGGTAACTCTGACTGATTACAAATACCTCTATAATTGCTAACATCCTCCCGTCAACCACTTTTATGAATAGGTTTAACGAAACTGTGTTTCCAGTTGTTAGGTATCTCCCCCCCAATTGATCTGAAATCCTTGGAATGCTTCGAAATACCATCAAAGTCATGAAATGAAATGAAATGCTTGAAATATCAGAAGATGGTTTGACATGCTATTGTAGTGAAATGTCACGGAATTGCTTGGAATGCATTTAAATGGCTTGAAATGTAATAAAATGCTTCAGATACCGAAATCTATAGATTTATCAATTTTTTTCACATTAGTTGTTTCTATTTGAAAGCCAAATATTTTACTTTCAAATTAAATAGAGTTTGGGCAAAAATACTACATACTTTATATTTCACAGCTTGGTATAAATGAAAATGGCCCACTCAATATTGGTTGGACTATTTTGAGAATAATCTGATGAATACTTATTATGTGATGTGAGAACCAAACATTTGAAATTCCATGGAATTTCTTAATGAAATTCGAGCCTGTTTGGTTGGTTGATTTCTTGGTAAGTACTGAATACAAAATGTCCCGATTCCCTGTTAAAAAATCGAAATGGAATAAAATAATCGAAAATGTCAATAAAATTGTAAAATACTTTTGAAATGCATTTAGAAATGGGTGAAATGCATTTCGAAATGAATGAAATGCTCCCGAAATGGATGAAATACTTAGGAAATGGATGAAATCCATGAAATGCTGAAATACTTCGAACACTTTTTTACTGTTGGTAACCCCCTCGGTATAGAGGGTGATTGATATTTTTTCCTAATCAGAATGTGAATGAATGAGGGCGAAAATATTAAGATGGTGATTTTTTGTTAGATATCATGAAAAAAGTAGATATGAACATGTCTTAACGGGCTTCGTTTTCGAGAGATAGGTTGTCAATGTTTTGATGAAATATGTTTTTTGTTTTTATTAATTACTCATAAACCTTCTTGTCAATTCTGGATGAATTGTGGTAGTTTTGTTTATAGTAACAGAGAGATTCTTTTGCTTAATTAGAGTCGAAATAATAATTTCAGTGGCGTCGAACTGGGTTACCTTATTGAAATGGAAGTAATTTGTTTCTATACCTTTTCCTCTCCTGTTCCTCCTTAGGTACGCATGATATGTTCATAACATACATACATTTCCGGAATTGGGGGAGTAAATAAAATGGATGATAGGAGAAGAAGAAACAAAACGAATTGAGAGAATTAATTTTTGTCGAAAAAAAAAAATATTTTGGAAGATATTGAGTTAAAAAAGTTGACCTGTTGTGAATTATTGATCAGAGGTTAATAGCCCAACCTCAGCGTTTGCTTTCGGCGAGATCACAAGCACCGAAAGTATCAATGACTTTTGCAATGTTGCGGGGTGTTCACTAATAGTTGAACGATGGTGGAGCCGCACATTTTTTGAAAAATTTTCGTGTCACTACGTCTCATAGAACATAGAACAAAGCCACAATAGGCCATTGGCCGCAAAGGAGGGCCTGACATGGGCCCACTCACGTTTAAGCTAAACCTTATAGAACATCCCATTTCATTTATTGTCCCAATTCCGGAAACACCCTGTATATATGCCCCAATATATTATAGGGATTCAATTTCGTGCGCTCCATGCGATAAAAAATAAAATAAATGTAACAATGTGAATTATCTCGTAAATTCATTGATTTATCCTGTTTCGACAACCGTTAGTTATTTCTGCCGGACCCGATTTGAAACTTTAACGCCCTGTATCTCAAACTCTGTCCATCAACGAACTCTACGATTTTGCACATTCAATCAAATCAAATAAAAAATTACTTCATAGTGTGAAAGAACAATGAGAACAACACTAATAACAATTTGAATATATGCATATTTTTCATACATAACTCGTTACATATTCAAAAATATATAAAAACTTACCAGGCCATTTATAACACAAAATTTGTAGAGCATGTTACTACACGTCAATTATCATTATTATATAAGTAAAAATCTATAAATATATACGAAAAACAAATACATAAAATAAATTTCAAACAATAGTAATGTTAGTTACTAGACGTCAGTTAATTAAAAAATTTCAGGTGTTATTTTAGGTATAATGGTATAAATAAAAATGAAGGGTATACAGAATTCAGAATAGAAAATAAAAGAAAAGAAATAAAACGAAATACAACATAAAAAGCACAACACAGTGAATACCGTTACGTATCAGTCGATTCAAAACGCCCAACAAAAAAAATCTAAAATATCATGGAATAATCAATTCTAGGAATACTACAATAACATACCTACTGAAAATTCAGAAAATCTCACCCAGAACATTTCACCTGTTCTTCTGGAGAGATCAAGTAAAATATACCTATTTGTTGCTTTCTGATGTGTGGTAGGTATGGAAGCTGGAGCAGATGGTTGTAAAGATTCAAACCCATACGAGTATATTTGAAAAAATGTTGGGGTTGGGGATTGTTCTCATAGACATGAAAAAAAACTTCCAGGTTTTCAATACCTATTCAGAGGTCCCATCTTGAACTGACATTTTCGATTTGCGAAAGCTCCTATTGCTGCCGTACATAACAGAACTTCTGCTGTAGCAGTGTCAAATATTCATAATCCAGGTTATCACCCATTTGTAGAATTGGAATACCTTGAACAAATTGAGCCTCGTGCTTTGAAACAATGCTAATTCCAAAAATGATACTCGATAGTCCGAAAAAAAATAATAACACAAATTAATATGACAAGATTGGCGAGTGTCAAATTCAGGAAAATCCATAAATGCCAACTTCTATTTCACTGTTTCACGGTACTGATTGCGGAACGTTGAGAGATACGTTATGGTATCTATAAATCAGGGGTAATTCCGCTACAGTTGACAACAGGGTCTTGCACTGTGTCATAACGAAGACCTGACGCTAACGGAACAACTTTCTGTCACCAGAGAAAAACAGAGGACCAGGAGGACAATGACGACAACGACGACGACGGCAAGTATTCCCCGAAGGTACAAATCATCGCGGCCAGGGGAGACAATATCATAGCCGTGGCCAACCCTGCTCTGGCCATGTCGCCGGCTATCATCCCACCGCTGACACCTATCAAGGAGGTCAGGGAAAACTCACGGGACAGAGATTGATCGTACGGGGATTTTTATGATTGTTGTTCTGTGTGCTCGAACGAGATGTAAGTTTGCGCTGTTAGGGCATTAGTCAACAACGTAATTTGCGATTTACCTACTATTAGCCGAAGCGGTACACAGACGATGTTTGGGACCAATAGATCGATTTGATTCGCAGCACTTGCTTCCTCCACCTTGTAGAACCAATATGGCGGTCATTTATAAAAAAACTGTTATTTAAAAAAAATTGTCTACTAAGAATTAATTCTTTTGGTATCAATTTATAATCATTACAAACAATCATTCAAGGGTAATTTGAGGTTACTGATTTCAATGGTGAGTTCAGAAATTGAAAGATCGAGAGATTTAAATTTTATTCAGTTGTTTTGATTCTTAAAAAATTTAAATTTTGACATTTTAACCGAGACAAAAATACTATATAGCACTCTACATATACTATCGAATGTCTTCGTCTTCGTTGGGGTTAGAAACGAACCTGCTGCTTAAGAGATGCAGATGTGGAGGGATTTTCCGTACCAAAGAGATATTTTCGAGCACTGATGTTTACGCGTTCACAATCGGGATCTCTAATGTTATTCAATTAAATGCACTCTATACTCCTCCAGAATCTCAAATACGCACTGAGTGGGGGATGTACCTGGAGCACCAATATATTTGATAACTTCAATAATGTCATCTCCATCAAATGTTTCAAATGCTGTATTCACGCTTTGAGGTGAAGTAATGTTACATGTGAAAGATTCAATGGACCATGGGCCCGAATCGTAACGGTTAGATGTTCGGACACAGACATTGTTGTTTTATGTGTTTTCTTTAACTGTATACAGTGTGTCCCACTTACCATGCTCACCATGGGTATCTTTTTAACGGTGAGAGATACGAGGTCGGTTAAATGACACCAAATGTGTAGTTTGTCAAGGCCAACTATAATGTGAAAAAATATTTTGATAAAATCTATTCGTTTTTATTTTATAGGCAAAAAACAAATTTTGGTCATTTTCATGTCTCCTCCGTAACTTCTTTGTTCATGGGAATATTCAAATAGGAATTCCACATTCTCATGGCAGTTTTTCAAAGTAATTTCGAAAAAAATATGAAATTTATACCAACTCTTCTAGAATTTGAGATATCAGCACCAACTTTAGTTTTTCAAATGTAGGTCATAGCTCACTATGACTTAGTTACAAATAACTTTTTTTCCCTTACCAATGATATGTCACAGTAATAGTTTTGTGTTGATACAACGGAGTTATCGTCATTTATACAAAACAAAAAATTATTTGGAAGCCGCCATCTTGAATTTATAAATTTTAACAAAAAAATCATGATCTCCGACCTAAAGAACCCCCATTTACCAATTTTGAATGGAATCGGACCAAATCTTGTCCGCCATCTTGGAGCAGCCATTTTTTTTATTTCAACAAAAATTCCATAACTTTTGCGATTAGCTTGGAATTTGGCAGGTGTTCATAATTTTGGAAACAATACATTATGGAATTTTTGTTGAAATTGAAAAAATTGGCTGCTCCAAGATGGCGGACAAGATTTGGTCCGATTCCATTCAAAATGGGTAAATGGGGGTTTTTGAGGTCGGAGATCATGATTTTTTTGTTAAAATTTATAAATTCAAGATGTCGGCTTCCAAATAGTTTTTTGTTTTGTATAAATGACGATAACTCCATTGTTATCAACACAAAACTATTACTGCGACACATCATCGGTAAGAGAAAAAGAAGTTATTTGTAACTAAGTCATAGTGACCTACGACCTATGACCTACATATGAAAAACTAAAGTTGGTGCTGATATCCCAAATTCTAGAAGAGTTGGTATGAATTTCATATTTTTTTCGAAATCACTTTGAAAAACTGCCATGAGAATGTGAAATTCCTATTTGAATACTTTCATAAATAAAGAAGTTAGGGAGGAGACATGAAAATGATGAAAATCTGTTTTTTGCGTATAGAATAAAAACGAATAGATTTTATCAAAATATTTTTTCACATTATAGTTGGCCTTGACAAACTCCACATTTGGTGTCATTTAACCGACCTCGTATCTCTCACCGTTAAAAAGATACCCATGGTGAGCATGATAAGTGGGACACACTGTATAGCAGTTCACAACATTGCAATAGTCTTGGGTGAAAATAAATGCGAGGCCCTACGGGGTATGAATGCTTTTACAGGCGCGAGGCTGTGTCATTTTTCACCCCAAAGGTATGCAGTGCATTTGTATGGCATTAGAGATGCCTTTTGTGAACGCGTAAACAGTGCTCGAAAATATCTCTTTGATACTGAATCTCGCTCCCTTTTATTAATACCTCCTATATCTGCATCTGTTAAGATGCACATTTTTGAAGCAGCATATCTAGAATTATAGTTTTGGAGAAGGTTTAATGTACTAGAGGAACCTACAGAGCCATACGAGTGGGGTCGGAGAAGTTCAGAGTATGGCTGGAAACCTATTTCGTCATCTTTGCCAAATATCTGACAAGGTTACAGGGAGCTTGACCGTTGCGATTGTCTTAAAGACTGTGAGACGATGCGCTGTATTCGCCGAAGAAACAATCTGCCATGCACTCTTGATAGCTTAAAATGTAAAGGTTCATGCACCAATCAAAGGTTAGCTTTTTTATAATAATAAATTATTAAACATTAAATATATATTATATTTTGCAGCAGGTTCGATTCTAGCCAAAACGATGACGAAGACATTTGATAGTACATTGTAAAGTATTTTTGTTGCGTTTGAAAAAATATCAATATTTCAGGTTTTTAAGAATCAAAATAACTGAATAAAAATTAAATCTTTCGAATTTTGTATATTTGACCTCACCATTGAAATCAGTGACCTCAAATTAACCTAGAATGATATGCCACATGTCACTTTTGTACGTTGAACAGATTTAAAAAAAAAGTGAAAATACATTATGACCGCTAGGATGCCTGAACTTATCGACCAAAAAGTTGTCTGTAATGTTTGTGATGATTATAAATCGATACCAACAAAATTTTTTCTTAGTAGATCAGTTTTTAAAAAATTCCTATTTTTCCACAAATGGCCGCTATATTGGTTCCACAAGGTGGGGAAAGCAAGTGCTACGGGTCAAGTCGATCTATTGTACATGAACATCGTCATATTTTTTCAATTTTAATTATGTACCGCTTCGGCTATATGGCCAACGTTTCGTCCATTCATGCAACGTATAGTGTGTAGTATTTTTTAGCGCGTTTTCAAAAAGCAAGAATTTCGGTCTTCAAGTATACACTTCCTGAGATATGGTGTGTTGAAGTTGAGTTATACACAAAAGTTAGTTTGTCAGATAGAATCCCCAAAGTACGGTGAGGGAGAATAACAGTTTATATAGAATTACTCCGTAACTGGAAATTAATGTGACTCCCGATGTCTTTTTTTTTTAAACAAATTGACTAGACAAATCAAAAAAACGACAATGCTTGAAAAAGTTCATAATAAACGTGACGATTCTGCAGTTTCCCATACCTCCTATGCAGGGTGTTTCAGATTTGAATGTACATACGATAACTGTAGATAGAGGACACTTTGATGGTTCCAAATCCATCGACATTTTGGTATATACGCGGTGAGTTATAAGGAACTTTACAGAGCCTTCATGTTCATTTGAACTGCTTCATTTAGTGTTTGATTGGCCATGTCGCCCGGTAGCGTATTGGCATTGTCTACTATGGCACGACGCAATTTTAGAGAAATGTATGCCGAATCACGGAAGACAATGTCCCACGATTTGCCAATAATAGACACATCATTCTCTATATATCGAAGACTGGCACCTTTGGCACGATAATACACTACACTGTTTTACCACTAACCAAACCGATTTTTTAACGCCTTGACACGTGTTTCGCTAGCTATGTTAGCATCTTCAGGAGAAGATGAAAACTGAGTTTTAATCTTCTCCTGAAGATGCTGATATAGTTAGCGAAACACGTGTCGAGGCGTTAAAAAATCGGTTTGGTTAGTGGTAAAACAGTGTAGTACATCATTCTCTCCTGCATTAGGGCACCAAGTGCTGAATATTGATGCGTCTGAATGCAGTTTCGTCACAATAAATTTCGCGTAATGAAGGACAATATCTTTCTACTATAAAATCAGATTGTGTTCTGTTTCTTGATTTATTATTTTATTGCAGTACATATAAAACAGTTGGTGAGATTTTGTATTAGGTGTGTTTTTATTTATGTTGGCCGATAAGTGTCCCTTCTTTTTGATTACTTGTTTAGATTCGTTTTTCGACAATCTACCTGTCTGAACCTTTTCGCCCCAGATGTCAGTTCAGGTCGAATTTTACGTCTGGATTTAGATGTCGACTGCACTCCAATTTGCCGTCCACGGTAGTGAATATATCTTTTCCTGAATTGCATTTGGCAAAGATATGACGGCACTTGTGTAGCAGTTGTTGATTGGCTACGTGTAAGATTAATTTTATGCTTTACTTTGGTCAAGTCACTACTTGGATTATTAAGTGCAATTTCTGAAATTCGAAAAAAAAAATCGCTTTCAAAATAGTCGCTTCACGTATGTGCAGGAGATCAGACGGTTCTTCAGTGAGAGATAATGTCCCTCTAACTCGCGACAAAATCTTCTACACCCAGATGCATCAATATTTAGTAATGAAGATGATAGTTAGCCCTAATTTCGAGAGACAACAAAAAATGAAAAAACTCCACCGCCCCGCGTGAAAGTCGAACTCACAACCTTTGGGTTGCATGCCCAGCGCTCTGCCAATAATTGAGCTAACGGGACATCCGTCGATCAATCGGCAGGAAGGTCCAGTTCTCATCACACACCAGGCGGCAGAATCCCTCCAAATGACAAAGTCATTCACTATATGAAGCATCGCTGGCAGGATGGTACTATACAATCTCTATTTTTACCCGTTCGTTCTCTGGCATATTTTTCCTTGAAAACGGAAATCTCCGCAAGCAATCTATACATAGAAGTGAGTGATAATTTTCGTCGGTT